AGAGAGAGAGAGAGAGAGAGAGAGAGAGGAAAGGCAGGAAATGATAGAGAAGTAAAGGTAGAAGACAGGAGTGTCAGTACCCAGTGGGGAGTGTTCCTTGCCTTGTCCCTCTGAGCCATTGTTTATGTGGTGAGATTAGCATGTGGTCAGGACTGTATGAACTTAGACAGAGGTTTGGGGTTGGGAATTAGAGGAATGCAATGTAAAAAAACTACCATTACTTTACCTAGGGGAAGGGCAGGTATTGGGGATAAAGATTCAAGGACTGTCATATATAGAAACTCCGGTATTTAACAGCCGTATGATCTGAGGACTAACAGGAGAAGGAGGTACAGCATTAAGTGTGGGTGAGACACATTCAATCTGAGAGCCAGATTGAATAAAAGATGATCATAGCCACAAAGGTACTGCAGAAGAGTTTTCAAGTCCCTTGTACCTTTCCATATGAATCTATCACCAGGAGCAATGTGCATTTTGAAAGGAAATGATCCGGATTGTTGGCTTTTCCATATCTGCCCAGCCTCTAGTATTTAAACTTCAACAGAGGAAATTGCATTTCTCCTTTGCTGGATGATTTATTATCATTAATTCCCCTTTTTTCTTAAAATGCTTTGTGTATCTTGTATAGTTAGCTTAAGAGGTTACAGCATTATAACACTGACATATTCAAAACCTAAATCATTACAAGCTACTTACTACAAGCTACACCTCAAGTGTTCCACTTTTAAATAATTCTGTATGAAATTTCTGATCAACACCTGGAAGATTTAACAATAGTTCACCATACTTTCCTTTCTTTAGATCATACAGTCCATGGAATATATACATAAAACTTCAGCAACTTGGACTAAACTTCCTAAAAGACAAGTTGAAATTATTGTGGTTTCTGAGCCCCCATACAGTGCTACAAATACAACCTATTCCATTCTCTAGCTCTTTAGATTGGGTAACAGGTTTAGTGCAGATATTTGCCCCTAAGCCAGACAAATTTTGAATAATACACAAAGAAATATCAACGCAATGCAATATGCTATGTCAAACAGACTTTGGCCATTGCAAGAGTGAAAGAGTAACCAACCAAATAATTGCAAAGCGATGCCATTTTTGTATGATTTTGGATTTTTCCATTGAAAACTAAACATAAGTAATAAATGTCAAGTTACTCACTCATAGATTCTGTCAACCTGGCCATCGTTGTTGTTTCTTCTTTGTGCTTTTCCTAGAGGTGAGAAGAAAAGACATTCTTCTGTAAAACATTTCTTAGACATGAATAGGTAGAATGGATTGATCATAACTATATCTCTCTTCTTTCTTTTCCATAGGTCAGAATTTGGTCACCAATGGTTAGATGAATGAAAATATTCACATTAAAGCTAAATTATTAGGCAGTCACTGAAAAGAGACTTTTAGGGCATTCCAAAACTTCCCATTGCTTTTGGCAGTGAACTCCTGTCACACTGACCTTGGTTATGTATCATTGGTGACGCACAACCGGCTTCCAAAACCTCTTTGACACTGGGTTTTTGACATCCATATGCCAAAGTTCTGCTTTCTAGTTCCCCCATTGAAGCTTTTTTTGGGGTATTTTTGGAGCTGATATTTTTGTAGTCATTTTGGTTTCCAAAAAACTAAATAGATTTCCTACTTTTCTCTTTGTCTTACTTTTTTGGGTCCTTTTGGAGTCCTTTGAAGGTCATCATTTTTGATGGGATTATAACCTTATCTATTTTGGGCTGAAAACATCTTATTTCAACCAAGATATAGGTTATAACCTACTGAGTTTGAAAACCAGACTGATACATACAGAATTGATACAGACAGAATCCGTCCTGATTAAAACATGACCTTGAAGCTAATGGCAGTCTTTACTGAAAAGCTCTCTTTAACTTCTTCACAGTTCTCTGAGTTTTCTTAATTCCCTTGGATTCGAACATGAATAGGGATTAAAATATTGACTTGTTATTTTACTTCTTTTGCAGCCTTTTTTTTCTGATCGTGAAACAAGTACATGCCCATTGTTTTAAAAATTCATCAGGAAGCTGAGGGAAATGATCTTGAATTCAAGGCCAGCCTGAGCAATTTAGCAAGACCTTGTCTCAAGACAAAACATAAAAAAGGCTGGGGATGTAGCGCAGTGGCAGAGCACTTGCCTAGCAGGTATAAGGCTCTGGGTTCAATCCCCCATATTGCAAAACAAACAAATGAACAAACACCAAAAATAAAGCAAAATAAAATTTCAGAAAACATTGGAAAATTATAAATCCACAAATGTATTTCTTATAATGACATGCCCAGAGGAAATGACTATTACACTTGTGTGAACAGTTTTCTAGGGCCAATTCTATATGTGTGACTACTTACAAATATGGAAATATAATCCCTTTTTGTTAGATACAAATGTCTTTCCTATGCATACCTGAGGCTGTAAGCCAGTTATTTTTGTACTTAAGACCAAATATATATCTTTTGTACTTAATACCAAATATATACAGAACACCAAATACATAGAACAATGATCACTTTTGAGAATGGAGCATTCATTATGGTTCCATCATTATTTCTTTACCCAGGACATTCCTACTTGATTTATTTATAATACTTTATTCCTTTCCCATTTGATTCATTTACATTATTTACTCTCTTGTAAAGCATTATAATGAACATTCTTCAACCATATCTTTGTGCCCTTCCTTGTCCTGTTAGGTACTGAAGATAAATCCTAAGGTTAGTTCATACCTGGTGAAAAGTATGAACACTTAAATTTTGACACATATCACTCCATTATCCTACACAAAGATGTGTATGATAGTATATGATATAGTTTGGATCAAAAATGTCTCTCAGAAGTCTCATGTGTTCAGAGTGGAGCTTTTCAAAGATGATTGGATCATGGGGGCACTAACTCACCAGTGGATTAAACCATTGACGAGTTCACAGCTGAATGTGCTGTTATAGGAGGTGGGCCCTGACCTGGAAGGGTATATTCTTGTCCCCTGTCCCTTCCCCTCTTTTTCTCTGGTTCCTGGCTTCTATGAGGTAAGTGGCTTCCCTCTGCCAGGCCCTTCCACCATGATGTACCTGCCTTGGAACCAGCCAACCATGTACTGAACTTCTGAAACTGTGAGCCCTTCCTCTTTTAAATTTCATCTTTCAGGTATTGTGTCCCAGCAATGGAGAAGTGACTGGTACAATGTATGAAACTGTTTTTTTCTCTTAGATTCTTGCCAACTTGCCTATGGAGTTCACACCCTCACCCCGACACCATTTTTTTTTTTGTGGGGGGAGAACTGGGGATTGAACTCAGGACCTTGCACTTGCAAGGCAGGCAGTGGGATCACTGAGCTAAATCCCTGACCCCCCACCAGTTTTTGACAAATTGATAAGTAGAGGTTGGTACCTTGTTATTTATATTTTTTTCTCTTCCTGACCTTTTGCTTACGAACAAGCAGTGTTCTTTATATGTGATCCTTATATCTTAACTCTTAGTTTCGTGTTACATCATTCCAGCTCCTCTGAGATAAACATTTAACTAATTAATTGCTGGTACTGGGGATTGAACCCAAGGCCTTTGCACTGGGCAATATTCCTAGCCTTTTAAAAATACTTTGTTTTGAGGCAGAGCCTTGCTAAGTCACTAAGTTGCCCAGGCTGAACTTAAATTTGCTATCCTCCTGCCTCAGCCTCTCAGAATTTGCACCTCGGGCTGGTATTTATTTCCCCCTGGTGCCAGCACACTGCTGAGCACATCTAGCACCCAAGTTGATGTCTCATGACTTGGGTGTTGTGGCACAGTTAGCAGAGTCGTTATTCAGCCGCCAAGTGGCACCATTCCCACCACTGCGAACGGCAGCAAGTCTCGATTTTCTCAAGCCCGTATTCACAGAGGTGAAATCAAGACACTGCCTGTAATTTCAACCAGTAATTGCCCTTGATATGAGAAGGAGCAAAGGAGCTGTCACGCACCACGCTGCCTGCTGTGACACTCAGCCGTGGTATTTAGCTGACCATGGTTTATAGGGAGATGCTCAGAAAGAGCGGCCTGCTATCCCATAGCAGAGACAGCCAAGATGGCAGACAGGAGTTGTCACAGTGACGCTGGTGCACACGAGCCTGTGTGCAGCTACCTCAAAGGCCAGCACGCACCAGTGGGTTGTGACAATTTAGGCCTGCGAGCAGGAACCCCGGGAGAGTGGTCCTTGGCCTGTAAGAGCCTGGTCTGTCTGGTTCGCTCCATTACTGACTCCCAGCTTCACCTCTTAGCCCAGCTCTGCCATTCTGGTCCCTGGAGCTGGTCCTCCCCAGCCCTGTGTTCCTTCTGTCCTCATTTGGGTCACTGTCCCTGACAGCGTGGCCCTCCCCTGATGGCCCCTGAGCCAAGGCCCCCTTTCAATACCACATTCCAGGCATTCTGTCCTCAGAAAGCCCCAGCTTATCATGCAGGTGTCTTCCATTCATTTCCTGGGACTCGGGAGCCTGAGACTTTTTGGCCTCAGTCTTGCTGGTGGGCAATCCTTGCAGCCGTTTTTATCCTGATGTGTTGGATAGCCCGGTCCCAGCAATGTCAGAAACTGTCCCTGTCAGCATTTTACTCCTCCCTGGAGTTAAAGGGAAGCTTCTGACACCGAGGGGGGAAACCCTAAATTTAGCTCTCTCCCTGACTCATCCATATGGTAACGTATGGTGGGAATCATGACATATGTTTTTGGGTAAGTAGTTGAGTCATTCTATTGGATGTCTTTAAATGCCTTCTGTCCTTCCCTCATTATCAGGAAGTGGCTGTTGGCAGTTTGGTGGTGTGGATGCCCAGCAAGGCATTTACATTCCATTCCTGGTCTCAAGCAAACTCTTCAGTGCTCTGACGCCAAGAGTTTCCTTCACAACAAGTGTCTTGGTTGTTGGGTTTACATTACTGGGAAGAGATGTAGAACCAGAGTGCAGTAAAACTGGAAGAGATTCTATTAGTCACGATCAAGCCCAGCCCACAGAGGGGCCACCAGTGAGCGCAAGCCCAGGGCTGAGTGTGGCACCAGAAAGGGGTTTGCCCGCCTCACCCTGATGGTCCATGTGTCCTCAGCTGCTCCTGAGCAGCTGCTCTGTCAGCATCATCTCCCTCCATGTCCACAGGCTTCGGGGCTCACCTCCTGCACAGCTTTGTCTTGAAATCACCCCGAGGATCTATCTAGAACACACCACTGACTTAGGCAGCCGCTGCTTCAAATCCTTTTTCCCAGTAGCAGACCAAGTGAGCCTCATCTTTGGGCAGGGCCGGTTACCCCCATAGCTCTGCCTTCTCCATGGGTGCCTCAGCCCAGGTCCCTGCCACCCATCCAGGCCCCCTCTGCTCCCTCCTGCTTCACAAGCCCGATGCCTCTGTCCAGACACCCCAAACTCCACTTCATCTTCGTCTTCTCCAAATTCACCCCTCAGAACTCCGCTGGACACCACCACCCAATCTCCAGCTTCCCCCTATCTCTCTGACCACTTCCTGGAGTTTTATTTTTCAATACTTTGTCCATGCACAAATGCATCCACACACCCCAGTGCAAGATTTGAGATGCCAGCAAAGAATCCGTGAACTTTTGGAAAATTCAAGTGCCACCTCTGAAGAGCTTCATCGGGCCTGGGAGGTGACACATCATAGATGGGACACACTGGCCACTGAAGACCCTAGGAGCCAGGACACAAGGTCTTCTCTTTTGGTCCTAGCTTCCTGGTCCACTCAAAGAAGTTTGGGGGTGCTATTGCATAGCAGGTGACCACAGATGATAATGTGCCGTGCATTTCGAAGAGCCAGAGGAAAGGAGTGTGAATGCTTAACCACGAGGCAACGACGAATGTTTGCAGACACAGAAAGGTTTCACCTCACTTAACCACCACGTGATGTTCACATTCCCAAACATCACGATATCCTGCAAATATAAGCAATTTTTATACTTTTATGTATCTATCAGTTCAATTAAAAAATAGAATAAATAAAAACTACATACATTCACATGCAAAAGAAATGGTTTACTGAGTGCCAGCCCTGGCCACTTCCCACCCCAGGGGCAGCCACATGGAGAGGAAGTGTGAACAGGTTCGTGTCAGAGACAGCGTGACCAGTGTTCGACTTTAAGGTGAAACCCCAGATATATGGCTGCAACCACTTCCATCCAACCTGTGTTTCCTTGGGGAGCCAAGGGTTTTGAATTGGAGGTAAACATTCCATATTCTCTTTTT